CGGCTTGGGGGCAAGCAGAGGGCGGCCTTCAAGTCCGGCAAACGGGTGGGGAAGCCCTCCCCCAAGGCCGCGTCCAGCCCCAGCAACCCGGCCGCCCTGCCCGTGGCCTCCGACAGCAGCCCCATGGGCTCCAAGACCAAGGAGCCCGACTCGCCGGGCATGCTGGGCGGCAAGGACCAGCGCTCCATGATCCTCCGGTCCCGCACCAGAACCCAGGAGGCCTTCCACGCCAAGCGGAGGCGTCCCGCCGAGAGCAGGCTGCCCAGCTGCCGCGTGGCCAAGAAAATCCTCAACAGCCACCTGCCCGCGCCCTTCAAGGCCTCGGGCGGCCCCCAGAAGGAGGGCAGGGCCGGCCAGCGGGCGCGGCTCCCCAAGCCTGGCAGCGGGGGCGTCATCCGGAAGCCGTCCGAGCGGCCCCTGCATGCGCTCAAGCGGAAGGCTGCCTTCATGGCACCTGTGCCCGCCAAGAAGCGCGGCCTGGCCTTGCGGAGCGGTGCCTGCGCGCTCGGTGGGCCGCTCGCCATCTAAATAATGTTTCTGGTAATGCATATTCGGAGAATGTGTGTGTGGTGGGGGGGGGCGGGGATGCCGTAGAAATGTTAATGATATCCACAGGACACTCAGCAGGAAATGAGGGCGGCCTGGGACTAATAAAAGTCGAAATGTAATTTGTGCACATCTACAAGCCTCAGCCTTCATCGCTATCCTGGGTCTTTGGAGTTCTGGGCTCAGAATATGGGCCAGATGGGGCAGTGGCCCGGCCTGCCTCGCCTTCCCCAGCCAGGTGGTAAGGTGGGAATCAGGTGCTCCCAGGGAATGGGGTTAGAAGGTGCCCAGGCTGCCCACCTGGTAGGGAGCTGCAGGGCCCAAACTCAGGTCTGCAAGCACCATGGAACACAGGTTCCCCCTCCCTGGATTGAAGCACCCCTCCTCCAAGCAGATCACAGGGCAGAGGTTGGGCCCCCACTGGGCCAGCAGCTCCTGACAAAGCTGTCCTGGGTGTGTCCTGCTTAGCTGGGCTGCTTGTGCACTGCCAAACTGAGCCAGCAGTCTGCAGTGGGGTCCAGACCACAGCCTCCAGTTCTCTGCCTTCCCCCTCCCGTCTCTTTGTGTTTCTCTCCCTTATGCCTTTTGGACCCTCTTCACGCCCTCGGTAGCCTGAGCTGACCACCCCTTCCCCGGCAGCTTTTAGGAAGGAGAGGAGAGCTGGGACGCTTCCGCCCTCTCCCGGGCCCAGTTCTCACCTCCTGGCCAGGCAGCCAGCGTTTTTTGCAGGGTAAATCCGAGTCCTCTGGGACTCTGCCAATGACAGCCAGACCCTTGACAAGATCCCTGGTCCCACGCCCAGCACATTCCTCTCAGCCCTCCCCCTTCCCAAGCTCTTAAACAAACGTTTTGTGGGGTGGCCAGCCGGGCCTGCCTGGCCTCTCAGCCTGAGCGGCTGCTTTCTGCCTCTTTAGTGAATCCAGTTGCTGTGCTCTGAAAGGCCCCCCACCCCCACCCCCAGACCCACCCCACCTCAGGTCATTTCCTGACCCAGAATCCTGCTTCAGCCAGCTCAGCTCCACCCAGGCCTGACCCCTACAATCATAACCAGATGGATGGGGGGCTGCAGCGTGCCCTAGCCCTGACCCTGCAGAGGCTGAGAGGAGTGGAGAGCTCAGGGCCCAGGAGAGAACCCAGTTTCTCAGATGTGCAGGGGAAGGGCCGCATGCTCCCGGCTGTGTGCTCCTGGGCCATTAGCATGCACGCCCCCCCCCCCAGGGCATGTGCTCTGTTCAGCCACCCTCAGTATCAAAACCAGGCAGGTAACAAACGCCTGAAGCCAGCACAATGGGTGCTTACAGTGCCTCGGGGTCCCTAAGGGCCCTTGAAAAGGAACACGCGGATTCCAGGTGGTGTGGCATGTGTGTGCACATGTGCCTCATGTGATGTGTGCATGCGTATGTACACGCGCAAGCTCAAAGATGTGACACAGTGTCTGCTCCCCAAACGGAGGCAGACACCCCCTTCCCTCCCTGCAGGCCCCATGTTGCAGGTCACATGCAGAGGCTGGAGCCCAGGGACCAGATAATGATAACGGGATCCACCAAGCCCCTGGGGGACAGGGAACTGGAATTGCTCCAGGAAATGCTGAGGGCTGGGGGACGGCAGGAGGGGAGGGGAAGGGAAGAGCTGGCCAGGGGTTGGGGGCGGTTGCTGGCTGGCTGGGAATCTGTGGACAGGCGGTGGCCTGGCACTGGGTGATCAGTTTGCGCCTCCACATGGGTGGCTGTCCTTGGCAGGGCTCAGCTGCAGGGGGTGTGGGAGCAGGGATTACAGCGCCGCCTCCCTGACACATAAGTTGTCAATATGTGCACAGCTGGTGGGAGGCCCAGGCAGGGCAACTGTGCAGAGTGCTTCCAGTGGGGAGCACCAGGCAGGAGGGGGTGGGGGCCGCCTTCTGGGGCAGGAGGAGGTGGCCCATCTGAATCGTCTGCCTCTCTCTCCCTCTCCGCCCCCCCACCCCCACCGCCTCCCTCTTTCTTTTCACAGATAACCAGTCCGAGTCATGCAGTCTTTTCGAGAAAGGTGTGGTTTCCATGGCAAACAGCAGAACTACCAGCAGACCCCACAGGAGACAGCACGCCTGGAGAATTACAGGCAGCCGAGTCAAGCCGGGCTGAGCTGTGACCGGCAACGGCTGCTCACCAAGGACTATTATAACCAGCAGCCTTACCCGGGCTACGAGGGCAGCACCGGCCCCCCCGCCGGCCCAGCCACCTCCGTGGGCGGGGAGAAGTACCACCGCGGCAGCAAGGCCCTGTCCTCCTCACAGGCCCTGCAGGGGCGGCCACCTTTCCCTGGCTACAGTGTGCAGGACAGCCCGTACCCTGGGCGCTACACGGGCGGGGAGGAGAGCCTGCAGGCCTGGGGGGCTCCGCAGCCGCAGCCCCTGCCGGGAGGCGTGAACAAATATGACGAAAGCTTGATGAAAAAGACAGCCGTGCCCCCCGGCAGGCAGTATCCAGAGCAGGGTGCCCAGCTGCCCTTTCGGACTCACTCGCTCCACATGCAGCAGCAGCAGCCACCGCCGCCGCCGCCGCCGCCACAGCAGCCACAGCCCCAGCCGCTGCCCCAGCCCCAGCAGCCCCTGGTCTACCCCAAACTCCAGAGGCAGAAGCTACAGAACGACATTGCCTCTCCACTGCCCTTCCCGCAGAGCAGCCACTTCCCCCAGCACTCCCAGTCCTTCCCTGCCTCCTCCACCTACTCCCCATCCGTCCAAGGCGGCGGGCAGGGGGCTCACTCCTACAAGAGCTGCACGGCTCCATCTGCCCCATCCCATGACAGGCCACTGACAGCCAACGCCAGCTTGGCCCCAGGGCAGAGGGTCCAGAACCTTCACGCCTACCCGTCTGGCCGCCTCAGCTATGACCAGCAGAAGCAGCAGCAGCAGCAGCAGCAGCAGCAGGCCCTTCAGAGCCGGCACCATGCCCAGGAAACCCTCCACTACCAAAACCTCACCAAGTACCAACACTACGGACAGCAAGGCCAGGCCTACTGCCAGCCCGACGCAGCTGTGCGGACCCCAGAGCAGTACTACCAGACCTTCAGCCCCAGCGCCAGCCATTCGCCTGCGCGCTCGGTGGGCCGCTCGCCATCCTACAGCTCGACCCCGTCCCCGCTGATGCCCAACCTGGAGAACTTCCCCTACAGCCAGCCACCGCTGGCCACCGGCGCCTTCCCTGCTGGCATCACCGACCACAGCCACTTCATGCCCCTGCTCAACCCCTCCCCGACGGACGCCGCCAGCTCCGTGGACCCCCAGGCTGGCAACTGCAAGTCCCTGCAGAAGGACAAGCTCCCTGAGAGCCTGCTGTCGGACCTCAGCCTGCAGAGCCTCACGGCCTTGACCTCGCAGGTGGAAAACATCTCGAACACGGTGCAGCAGCTGCTGCTTTCCAAGGCCGCTGCACCGCAGAAGAAGGGGGTCAAGAGCCTGGTGTCCAGGACGCCCGAGCAGCTCAAGAGTCAGCACTGCAGCCCCGAGGGCGGCGGCGGCTACTTGACCGAGCCGGTGGGCACGCCGCTGTCGGAGCCCCTGAGCAGCACGCCACAGTCCATCCATGCCGAGCCCCCTGAGGCCGACTACCTCAGTGGCTCCGAGGACCCTCTGGATCGCAGTTTCCTCTACTGCAACCAGGCCCGCGGCAGCCCCGCCAGAGTCAACAGCACCTCCAAGGCCAAGCCTGAGTCCGTGTCCACCTGCTCCGTGACCTCACCTGACGACATGTCCACCAAGTCCGACGACTCCTTCCAGAGCTTGCACAGCAGCCTGCCCCTGGACAGCTTCTCCAAGTTCGTGGCGGGCGAGCGCGACTGCCCGCGGCTGCTGCTCAGCGCCCTGGCCCAGGAGGACCTGGCCTCGGAGATCCTGGGGCTGCAGGAGGCCATGGGCGAGAAGCCCAGCAAGGCCTGGGCTGAGGGCCCCAGCCTGGCCAAGGACCCCGGCAAGCCAGCCTTCTCTCTGGAGAACCACAGCGCCTGCCTGGACCCTGGGGCTAAGAGCGGGTGGCCCCGGCCAGGGGAACCAGAGCCCCTCCCGGACCCCTTGCAGTTGGACAAGGGCAGAAACACCAAGGACTTCGGCTCGGAGCTATTTGAGGACCCCTCCCTGGGCTTTGCCACCCCTGACCCCAAAAAGACAACAGGGCCCCTCGCCTTCAGCAGCAAGACCCCCCTTGGGGTGCCCCCAGTAGACCCCAACACAGCAGCCTTCGACTGCTTCCCGGATGCGGCGCCCACCGGCTCAGCAGATGGCACCAACCCCTTTGCCTGGCCAGAGGAGAACCTGGGCGACGCCTGCCCCCGCTGGGGGCTGCACCCTGGCGAGCTCAGCAAGGGCCTGGAGCCTGCCGGGAAAGCCTCAGAGGGCATCGGCAAAGACGGTGCTCAGGAGTCGCCCGCCTGCCTTGGCTTCCCCGGGGAGGAGCCTGGCGGGGAGAAGGCAGCTGTGCCTGGAGACTTTAAGCCGGAGGAGTTGAGCGGTGTGAAAGAGGAGGCAGGCAGGCTGCTGCAGTGCCACGAGGTCGTGGGCAAGGCCGACCGGTGGCTGGAGGAGAGCCAGCACCACTGCACTGCTGCCGACTTCGGGGACCTCCCGCTGCTGCCGCCCACCAGCCGGAAGGACGGCTTGGAGGCTGAGGAGGAGTACTCCTCCCTGTGCGAGCTCTTGGGCAGCCCAGAGCACAGGCCCAGCCTGCAGGACCCACTGTCCCCTAAGGCCCCGCTGACCTGCACCAAGGAGGAGGTGGAAGAGGCGCTGGACTCGAAGTCTGACTGGGGCTCACCCTGCCACCTGTCCGGGGACTCGGTCATCCTGCTGGGACCCACCGTGGGCGCCGAGTGCAAGGTGCAGAGCTGGTTCGAGGCCTCCCTTTCCCACATGAAGCCAGGTGAGGAGGGGCCTGATGGTGAGCGGGCCCCGGGGGACACCGCCACCCCGGATGCCTTGCTGGGCCCAAAGCCCACCAAGCCCGCAGTGCCCGAGACGCCCAGCGCCAAGAAGGAGCCCGTGCCGCGGGGCAAAAGCTTGCGGAGTCGCCGGGTGCAGCGGGGGCTCCCCGAGGCCGAGGACTCACCGTGCCGCGCGCCCGTGCTGCCCCGAGACCTCTTGCTCCCCGAGTCGTGCGCAGGGCCCCCTCCGGGCCAGACGGAAGGGGCTGGGGCCCCGGGCCGGGCCGCCTCGGAAGGTCTCCCCAGGATGTGCACACGCTCCTTCACGGCCCTGAGCGAGCCCCGCACACCCGGCCCCCCGGGCCTGCCCACCGCCCCCGCGCCCCCAGAACGGCTTGGGGGCAAGCAGAGGGCGGCCTTCAAGTCCGGCAAACGGGTGGGGAAGCCCTCCCCCAAGGCCGCGTCCAGCCCCAGCAACCCGGCCGCCCTGCCCGTGGCCTCCGACAGCAGCCCCATGGGCTCCAAGACCAAGGAGCCCGACTCGCCGGGCATGCTGGGCGGCAAGGACCAGCGCTCCATGATCCTCCGGTCCCGCACCAGAACCCAGGAGGCCTTCCACGCCAAGCGGAGGCGTCCCGCCGAGAGCAGGCTGCCCAGCTGCCGCGTGGCCAAGAAAATCCTCAACAGCCACCTGCCCGCGCCCTTCAAGGCCTCGGGCGGCCCCCAGAAGGAGGGCAGGGCCGGCCAGCGGGCGCGGCTCCCCAAGCCTGGCAGCGGGGGCGTCATCCGGAAGCCGTCCGAGCGGCCCCTGCATGCGCTCAAGCGGAAGGCTGCCTTCATGGCACCTGTGCCCGCCAAGAAGCGCGGCCTGGCCTTGCGGAGCGGTGGCGGCGGGGACGCCCCGGAAGAGAAAGGCGAGGGCACCCTTGTCCTTTTCAAGAGGGCGTCGTCGCCCAAGAAAGCCAAATCGGCCAAGGGCAGCGGGGGCGAGGCCCCCGTCAAGCCCCTGCCCCTGGAGCCCCCCAGCGTCTGCATCAAGATGGCCTCCAGGACCACCTTCCAGGCGGCCATGAAGACCAAGGTGCTGCCCCCGCGCAAGGGCCGAGGTCTGAAGCTGGAGGCCATTGTGCAGAAGATCACCTCGCCCAGCCTCAAGAAGTTCGCCTGCAAGGTGGTCGCCGGGACCGCCCCCGCCGACCCCCTGAGCCCGGGCCTCCCTGAAAAGGAGAGGGGACTCAAGAGTGCTGCAGGCAGCCCCACGGGGGCAGAGGAAGGGCTGCCGGGTGTTGGCGTGGGGCCTGACCCGTTATGCAGAAACCCCAACAACCGATCCCTAAAAGGCAAACTCCTGAACAGTAAGAAGCTGTCTTCGACCGAATGCTTCAAAACCGAGGCCTTTTCGTCCCTGGAGGGCCTGCCCCCCGGTGGGACCACCCTGGCACCTAAGAAGAGAAGCAGGAAGGGCAGGGCTGGAGCCCTAGGGTTACCCAGAGGCCCTCCTGATAAACGACCCCACCTGGGCCCAGCTCTGCTCCCAGCCCCCCGAGACAGGGCCAGCAGCGCCCAGGGGGGTGACGAGGACATCCCTGGTGGAGGAGGCAAAAAGCCAAAGATGGAGGAGGTGGGCTTGTACTCCCAGGCCCCCGAGGGCCTGCTCTGCCAGCCCCAGACCAGGGCCCAGAAGCAGCCAGGCCCTGCCAACTACAGCAGCTATTCCAAGCGGAAGCGGCTCACGCGGGGCCGGGCGAAGAACACCACCTCCTCTCCCTGCAAGGGGCGTGCCAAAAGGCGGCGGCAGCAGCAGCAGCAGGTGCTGCCCCTGGATCCTGCAGAGCCTGAAATCCGCCTCAAGTACATTTCTTCCTGCAAGCGGCTCCGGGTGGACAGCCGGATCCCTGCCTTTTCCCCCTACGTGCGAGTGGAGAAGCGAGACGCGTTCACCACCGTGTGCACTGTCGTCAACTCCCCGGGGGACGAGCCCAAGCCCCACAGGAAGCCCTCCTCCTCCACCTCCTCCTCCTCCTCCTCCTCTACCTTCTCCTTGGACGTGGCTGGGGCCTCCCTGGCCTTGCTCCCCGGAGGCTCTGTCCTGCAGCCACGGCCATCCCTGCCCCTCTCCTCCACCATGCACCTGGGGCCCGTGGTCTCCAAGGCTCTCAGTACCTCTTGCCTTGTTTGCTGCCTCTGCCAAAACCCAGCCAACTTCAAGGACCTTGGGGACCTCTGTGGCCCCTACTACCCTGAACACTGCCTCCCCAAAAAGAAGCCAAAACTTAAGGAGAAGGTGCGGGTGGAGGGCGCCTGCGAGGAGGCCTCACCGCCCCTAGAGAGACCACTCAGAGGCCTTGAGTGTACAGCCGCCACGGCCGCAGCCACCACCACCACCACTACCGCCGCTGTCACCGAGAAGCCCACTAAGCCCGACGGCCCAGCCGACCCTGCCAAGCAGGGCTCCCTGCGCACCAGTGCCCGGGGCCTGTCCAGGCGGCTGCAGAGCTGCTACTGCTGCGATGGTCAGGGGGACGGCAGCGAGGAGGCGGCCCCAGCTGACAAGAGTCGCAAGCATGAGTGCAGCAAGGAGGAGCCCGCCGAGCCCGGCGGAGGCACCCAGGAACACTGGGTGCACGAGGCCTGTGCCGTGTGGACGGGCGGGGTCTACCTGGTGGCCGGGAAGCTCTATGGGCTGCAGGAGGCTATGAAGGTGGCCATGGACATGGTAAGAGGCAAAGCCGCCCAAGGTGGGGAACTCCGGGTCCAGAAGGACAAGGACAAGAGCCCCCTCACCTCCCAGACACACCCCCACCACACATGAATATGGTCAGCAGGCTTGGCACACCCTCCGGAGAGCCTGGGGGCCAGTGGAGGGAGGGGGGCGGCAGACTGAGGCAGCAATACCTGTAACACACACACACACACACACACACACACATCGCCCTGTCCAGCCCAGGGCCCACTCACATACACCTACACCCCAACATTCCTTCTCCAGTGGAAGGGGTTGGAGTTGGGGGTGGAGTGGGGCGGACCAGACCTGCTTTCCAAAGGGAGCGGTCTGCCGCAGGCAACCATCTCCCCTGGGAGCAGAGCGGGCCATCAGAGAGCCCCAAGAGAACCATGTGGGACGTGGCCCTACCTGGTGACAGTACCCCACCCACCTGGCCTCAGGCCAGGAGCTCTGAAACCCCCTTTCTGGAGAGTTCTCCCTGCGGGGCTGTGCAAGCAAGGGCTCAAGCAGGAGTCTGGGTTCAAGTCTCAGCCTGTGCACCGGCAGGCATGTGCCCTCCCTTCTCCAGGCCACCCTGGCCAGGGGGGCTGTGAGGATGGGGAAGGATCCCTCATCGTCCTGCCCACACCTGTCTCTGGCAGTGGCACTGCTGTTCCAGCACGGCAGTATGAGGAGTGGATAGTGTCGCCCAGTGGCGGCCATTGCCAGGCACCCAGCATTCACACAGCCTGCTTTGTCGAGAAGGTTTGGAGCAGGTGATGGGGATCCCCACCCAAGTTCTCTCCCAACCCCCACAGACCTGTCTTGTGTTGTCCTGAGGTGCTGTGAGATCCAGTGGGGGTGGGGCAGCCACCCTGGGCCACATGCTCCTGGCACCTCACCCCCGCCCCCACCCCACCCCACATGCGCCTACCATGTTATCCTATGTGGGGACACCCTCCATCCCGTGTCTGGCCTCCACGTCTGGCCTCCTTCCATGTTCAGTTCGTTTGCTAGCTCATCCATCTGTCCCTCTGTCCGTCCGTCCTTCCCATCTGCTGAGTACTGGACACTGGCCCTGACCCTGAGCAGGGGGACCAATATGAAGAACCGTCCTGCTGAAGAAGCAGCTGGGGGTCAGAGGGACACACGGCCGGGGGAAGCTTACCTCCGACCAGGCCTCGGGTTGCCTGCATCTGGGGCGCTCAGTGCCCTGGAGAAGCCCCCATCTCGGGCCTCCCTGGACCCCAGCCCCCCCACTCCTAAGCTCTCTGCCCACTGCTCCCTCCAGTTGAGCTCCACCCTCACCCCCAGGAGTGCTTGGTTCAACCCCCACAGCCCAAAGAGAGGTTAGAGACCTTCAGGTCATGCCAGCGACCTCCCCCTCCCCCTTCCTCCTGCTTTGTTCTCTCAAATCACTGGCTCCTCAGCCACCTTTTATAGAGTCTCCCATCCCCCAGCATTCAAAAGCCATGAGAACCCTCAGCTCCCGCCCCTGCCGGTCACCACCCCACTGCTGTCCACAGCCCATCCCTGAGAGGCACTGCCCGACCCGACCACATGGCGCCACCTTGGTCCCCTCCTGGCTCAGGTTCCTGCCTGCACCTGTGCCCCTTCGGGCCTGACAGGCCCCTGCAGCCGCTCTGGCTCTGAGACCGTCTTGTCTTGAGAGCGCTGTGCTCCTGACCCCGCAGTCGCCCTGGTGGGTCCCCTGAGGCCGCAGGAGGACTCAGACTTGGTTCCCGAGGCTCTGAGGGGTCCCCTGGTGCTGGCTTGCACCCGAATCGGGTACAGGACCTCACCCAGCGTCCCCCAAGACCTGGTGCAGAGCTCTGGCCCTCCCCAGCCCATGCTCCCTGCCACGGACATCCCCGAATGGTGAGGAAGGGAAGATGAGCCTCCGGTGTTTGCCAGCACAGCGTCCGGCAGCCTGGGAAGAGCCTAAAGGCCTCCCTGCCAGAGAGGGCACGTGCGAGGGTGCCCCCCCCACAGCACCCAGCACCTTCCTGGAGTTCCTGGCTGCCCCCACTTCTCAGGAGAGGGTCCGTGGGGCCACCTCTCTGCCAACACCTTGGGTGCCTCCTGTACCTGCCAAGGCCCCTCCCTTGGCAGCCTGCCAGCAGCACTTGACCCCAGCTCTGTCAAGGGCCAAGACGTTATGTGGGCGGGGCACTTGCCTCTGGGAGCCCACTTTGTTCTCTGGAGGGACAAGACTTTGAGCTGCTAGGGACACCCAGCTTCTCCCTGCTGGGGGTCCCCCTAGAGCCTGCTTTTACATAGCCCCGCCACGCCTACCTTCCGGAGCCTGCTTCCCAGCCTGCCCACGGAGCATGTGCCTGTCCCAGCCCTGATGCAGGCCCAGCTCTCCACACGGCAGAGCAAGGCTGAGAGGCTGCAGTGCCTTTGAGGTCTAAGGAGGCCCAGCCGCAGTAGCAGGAGCCGTGGTGCTGGGGCCCAGAAGCCTGACGTCTCCCCTGCCTCTGTCTCTTCAACCCCAAGATGGGCATCACCCATATGCCCACCTCAAAGATGGTGCAGGGGGCGGGGTGAGTGTCATAGTACAAGAAAGTAGAAAGAAACCCTAGCTCCCCCAGCAGAGCAGCCCCCATGGTTACGGTAACCTTTAGCAGCTTCAAGTACATTTAGACAGGAGGCTGGGGGCTGGTCTGGGCTCCACTCTTGTTCCCATGCCTTTCTGTGGGTCAGGAATTTGGGGGCGGGGTTAGCCTCAAGAGGCCCCAGCCCAGCCCAAAAGGAAATGGTCCATTCCGAAGGAGCATGTGAAAACCCAGTGTTCTAGAAGATTCCAGTCTCAGCTCTGGGCACCAGAGGGGGCATTCTTGGGCTAGGCGGAGGAGGGGTAGGGGCGGACTTCTCAGCCCCGCCCACACCCCCAGCTGGTTTCCAAAGGTCCCCGGAGTCCTGGCTTCCTACGTGAAGCCCCGCCCTTGCCTGAGCAAGTGGCTGGCCCTGCTGTGCACTCTGTGTGTGTGACCACCCCTCTGGGCCTCAGTTTCCTTTCTGGTGAACCAGTAAACCAACAGCACCGCCAGCCAGCCTCCAGGCTGTGAGGATGCATCTTCCCACTGTGCCGGGCACGAGACCTTCCGCTTGGTGTCTGAACCTGCACCCTGCCACTGACCTGGGAAAGGGCTTCCTGCTTGGCCTGACATCCCACCCATACAATGAGGGGCTATAGTCCTGGCATCCGTGATGGGGGGACAACAGTCCCTTAACCTCCAGTTTTGCCTCAAGAGCTCTCTTGACATTGTAATCTCGCCTGTGGGCATTAGGGCCCTAGATCCAGGGGGCCTGCATTTAGACAGCCAGTATGGGCCAAGTACCAGGTGGGCAGTCAGCATCTCCAGAGACTGACCGCCTTGCCTGCTTTCTGAGCCACCTTGAGCCCTGGGGAGGGTTGGTCACTCCCAGTCCAGGAGAGAGTCTGCTACCTGAAGGGAAGGAAGTCATGCTGAGCATCACTGGCCGGGGCTGGGGGCCGGGTTCACCATGTGTGGACTGAGTCCGTGGGAGCTGGCCCGCCCTCGCTGAAGGCAGACACAGGGCTTCCCTGGGACCCCACCCCCAGGAGCCGTCACAGACGTTGGCATGCATGGTTGGCTGGATGTGCGCAGGCTTCCACTGAAGCTTCATGCGGACCCCCATCAGGGAGCCACCGCCCCCCTGGGACAGATGAGGCACTGAGGCACAGAGAGCCTGAGTCACTGCCACAACACCACACAGCACAGATGGGCAGAGCCGGGGTTGAACCGAGGTCTGTGTGATGCCCAGACCAAAGACTTAGCCCCTGAGAGCACCACCCACCATAGTCCCAGCCAGGGCTTCCAGAGAATTGTACTCTGGCCTGGAGCCGCTTCTGCCCCTCTGCAGGGCTGTGTCCACGCCGAAGGCAGGGACAGGGGCTTGGCTGGTACACGTGGGGCTGACCTCTGCTCCAGAGACTCATCTGCCTCCCCTCTCTCCTCACCAGACATGTTCCGGCTGCCAAGAAACCGGGGCCACCATCGGATGCTGCCACAAAGGATGTGTCCACACCTACCATTACCCGTGTGCCAGCGACACTGGTAAGCGTCAATCACCGGGAGTGGGAACAGCCGACCGTATGACCCTCAGCTGCCCTTCTGTTTACCTGGTTATTTGCTGGGCAGTCCAAGGGACAGGAAGATGAGTCAGTCCCCAGAACCCTCATCTAAAGAATGTCCAGTCTGGAGAGAGGGGTGATGGGGGCACCCATGATAAAATGTGTGCAAGCTCTTCAAGAGGCTGACATTCGCAAGGGGTGGGGGAGGATTTTAGGCCTTAGAGGGGAAGGGGCACTGGCACTGGGGCTTTGAAGGATGAAGAGGAGTCCTCTGGGCGGAGCAGAAAGGGAGCGGACAACAAACGATGTGTAAGGAGATGAGATTCAAAACGGACACTGAGGCCAGGCAGCTGCCTCATGATGTCGGAGGGCAGTCACGGCACATATTCAGTAGGACAGGCGCCAGCAGCCTTTCCGCCCGCCATGCTCTGCCGAGTGCGCAGGCCAGGGCACTCTGGGAGCCGAGCCTGGTCCTCCTCGCCCAGGCCGGGGAATGGAGACGTGGCGGACACAGGCTGCAATTCATCCCAAGGAGGAAAGTGTTCATCGTGGCTTCTGTCATTCAGGAGGACCTGACTTCAGGGGGCCGGTTAGGGACAGCTTCTGCGTGGACTCTACGCCGGTGGCGGTCTTGGGCTTGGGTAAAAGACAGAGTTGCCTCATCTGTAACCTGGGGATTCGCATCGCCGCACATTGGAGCCTGATGGGCGGGAAAGAACACAACGGTGGTCTGGGTGTAGACACGCACCTTGGCCTACTGGGCCTGCCTGCCCCCACACCCCCGGGGGGCACCCCTCCCCCTCCGGGTGAGTTACCCCGGTGCTGCAGTGCCCTGCCCCGGCCCTCTGAGCTGAAAGACGACATGCTCAGGACCAGCTTCAGGCAGGGCTATTGTCACGTGTGCTCTGCTGAGGTCAGCCAGGACCTCCCGCTGCCCGGAGACCACTCCTCCAAACCCGGTGTGACGGCCCTCCATGTCTCGCCTGTCCCATTGGCCCTGGGTGACACTACCCCGGCACCTTGGAGACCCGCCCACTGGCGAGCACTCAGGCTCCGGTGGTGTCAGCTCCTTGGAGAGCTGAGCTGCCTGCCACCTCTCGTGCCCACCCCCGTCAGCATCCCCAAACAGGTTCCAAGCCGGGCTCCCCCACTTAGCCAGGTGCGTGGCCTCCCGACAGAGGAATAGCTACCACAGGTTGGAGAAGCTCCTGTGTCAGACCCTTGTGGTCCAGGCTCCCAGCACACGCCTGTGTGTTGAACCACACCCAGCCCTTGGGTGGACTCCGATCACAGCCACCCCGTGGGACAGACAGGCCCAAGCGGCTCTGTGGGCTTTCTGAGGCCGTGCGTCTTTACGGGGAGCCGACAGCCTCATCGTTCTCCTGCAGAATGGCTTGGGGTTCTGCAGCCCTCCATTTCTGAACCCGCCACCGTGTGTTGCTATCAGCATTGTCCAGGGGGTCCCGCCCCCTAGCCGCCCCATGCGCTGAACAAACCATGTCCACTCTCCCTTGGTCTTCCTTGCTCGTGGTCCTACTTCAACACGCGTGTGAGGCCATAGAACATCCGGAGCCAGGGTCAGGCGCACCTGAGTCCTCAGCGTGAGAACTGACGAGCGTGGCAGGTGTTCCCACCCCCACCCCCCCCAGCAGAGCGTAGCTGGATCTAGTGACCCTGCACGACCTCTCCCGGTGGGCGGATGGGCTCCTCTGCCGGGCTCTCCTGGACTGGAGCCTGGTCCTGCTGGTGTGGCACCTGCCTCAGGTGGGGGGCATCTCTGCTCCACGGATCAGCCCAAGGTGCCCAGGTTCAGACACCTGGGAGCTCACCTGTGTCGGCTCTGGTGCCCAGGCATTTATGAATTGGCTCAAGATGGTGCTGGCACAGCAGCGAGGGGAGGGGTGGGTCTGGAATTTGGCTGGGGGCAGGACTGGCTCAGTGGGATTAGCCAGCTCCCCTCTGGTACCCCTCCCCACACACACACCTGGTGGTGGTGGCAGGGGAGCCGGGCTCCTTGAGACAGCCTTATACCTTGGTCCCAGGCTATCACCAAGGACAAGGCGTGCCCCACCATGCTCGGATCCTACAGGTGGGCAGTGCCCCTACACACCAACATGGGCTGCTTCCCTCAGACCCAAGACCACCCTCCTTGTGTCCTCCCACCCCCACCCCCAGCCCAGCCCTCTGCGTAGCCAGCCATCCCCTTGAGGCCAGGAGCCACCATGGAAGATGCCCCAGCCCCAGAGCACCTGCCGGGGCGAGACCCGCCATGCTGGTGATGGTGGTGACATCGTGCCCATTTTAGAGCTGTGAAGGTCAAGACCCAGAGCAGTAATCGTGGGTGCAGCCAGTGTTCGTATCCAGGCCTGTGCCTGTCTTCTGGCAGTAAAGCCGGGAGTCCCCACGGGAGGGCGGGAGGGGTGGTCAGAGCCTCTCCTTTGCCTTGAAGGAGGCGGCACTGGCTGGTGACCTTTCTTACTTCCTGCCTTCAAGGGGTCAACAGATACACCTACACCTGCATAGTGTATGAGCCGGCCAGGCCCGGCTCTGCTCCAAGACGGGTGGGGCAGGCAGGCCACCATCAGGGCCTGCGTTTGGATGGTGACCTTTTAAGCGAGATCTGATTTACTCAATGAAGGGAGCAAGCAGCCTGTGAGCAGTGACTGCCCCCCACCCCCTTGTCTTCCCTACCCCTTCTTGAGGTGCTCAGTCCTAACCACAGAACCATCTCTCTGGTCACAGGTTGCAGCTTCCTTGAAGAGAACTTTTCCTTGAAGTGTCCCAAGCATAAGGTAAGTGACCGCAAGTTCCCCCCACCCCCACCCCTCCTGCCACGCTGGCAGGACACGCCCAGGAGGGCCCAACTCTGGGAGGGAGCTCCCCTGTGTACACCAGCAGTGCCCACACTGCACAGTCCCTGTGCCCCCCACCCCACCCCGTGATCAGCGCTGATCAGCCACCACTGTGACCCCGTGAGTCATGGTTAATGAGCCACATGGCTCTAAAGAACATTGTGTGTAAGGCATGTTCTGGGTGGCTGGGCTTTCAGGAGGGGCCCAGAAAATGCCCAGGGGGACCTGCCCACACAAGCAGGCAGGCAGGTGGATGTTCACCTCACACTAGGAGGTGCCCCAGCCTGAGCCTCATGTGGGGAGGAGCTCAGACAACATGGGGGTGGGTGGGAGTGGAAGGTGGGAGATCCAGGACAGAGCTTCCACCTGGGTGTGCCCAGCAGTAAGGAGCCCCTGGGCTGGTGGTGACTCTGAGTACAGAGGGAAATGATGCCCGGTCCGTGCCACTGCACAGCCTGCCCCGGTGCATTTTCAGTCTGTCTGAGCCTCCAGCCAGCGTCTGCCAACTGTCCGGAGACGGTCTTCCTCCTGTTGGGTGATTCTACCAAGCGGATGTCTTCCCCACAGCCTGGTCCCTCTTGATAACACATCAAAAGTACGTGAGACCAAGGCCCCCTTCTGAGAGCATCCGACTGTCCGTCTAACACAGACTGTCCATCTGGCGGCCCCGGCATACTCCGGGCTCTTCGCCAACACTGTGATCCGGGCACCCATCCTCTTCCGGTCTTCCTTGGTCACCGCCTGGCTCTCACTCAAATACATGGCTTTTAAAAAACGGCACCTTTGTCTTCAAAGTGACATCCATCTTGGCTTTTTTCTAACACTTTAAAGGAGATCCTTTTGCAGCTGATTTTCCAAGGACACTGATGGTGGATCCAAGTAAAATGGGATGCTTGGCAACTTCGGTCTCTTTTCTGCGTGTGGTGATGTTGCTTCTCTGCCCGGCTGTGAGGATTCTTCTCTTGACGCTGCGTTGGCATCCTTACTGGTGGCTCTAGTCTCTGTGCTTCTTCCGCAAGTGCTTCAGGTTCTCGTTTTCATCAAGCAAGCTCGTGGCATCTAAGACCTTCCTCCAGTCCTGAGCCACGCTCTTCTTCAAACACACCAGCTTCTCAGAGGACTTGCTCAGCAGACAGCTTGAACGAGGACAATGAGAGGACACCCCCTTCCCTGATTCTAAATCATGTAGCGGGGCCCTTGTTCAGTTTGAACCGCTGCCTCTTGGGTCTGTGTCCAGGTTTCACGTGAGCACAAGGAAGCGTTTGGGAATTCCAGTTCTTCCCGATGTTATCCATGATTTGTTATGATCCACACAGTTGGATGTTAACAAAACACAGGCAAACGTCTTTCTGGCATTTTTTGGTTTCAGCCGAGATCCATCTGACATCAGCAATGATATCCCTCATTCCACATGCTCTTCTGAATCCGTCCTGAATTTCTGGCCGCTCCCCACTGATGGATGTACTGCTTCGACCATGTTTGAATGATCTTCAGCAAAATTTTACTTTGGTGTGACATTATGGATTCCCAACCCCCACAGCAGTTGAGTTAATTCCAACTTATATAGAGGTTCAAAGACAGTACATCTTTATGGGAGCAGACAGCCTCATCATTCAACCTCAGGGCAGTGAGTGGGTTTGAACAGCCAACCTTGCTGTTAGCAGTCCAATATTTACTTACCTGTCGGCACCACTAGGGCCCTGGTGATAGTGTTTGCTAATTTTGCACTCTGTTGGATGGGCACAAATATCTCTTCTAGTCAGTTGGCTAAGGAGCTCTCTTCCAAAGACGGTCTCAGCGTCGACCAGCAAGCGCTCGGAGCATCGCACCCTGTGTTGAAACATCCCGACTGGCATCCCACCGGTACCACCCGTCCTGCCTCACATGCTGCCTCCTGAAGTGGTTGAATGTTGTCGATCGATAATTTGGGGTACAGAGACCCGTCTGTTCCTTCCGTCTTTGGAAGTGTCCTGCGCCATTCCTCATTTTGCCCCTAGAATCCTTCAGTATTGAAGCTTTTTGAGGCTTGAAGGAATCTCTTCAGCTCTTTGACTTCATTTCTTCTTCTCCACAGTGAAGAGCAAGTTTCAGAGAGTCTTCTGACATCCACTTTGGTCTTTTCTCTCTTCCCTGACTCTTCAAAGAGCCTTGGCGTTCTCCATGCGTGCTGTGTCAGCCCAAAACTCACCTGGCCTTTGGTACCAAAACTATTCTTGAGACGTCTCCCAATCTACGCGAGAGATCATACTTGCTCTCTCTGGACTTGCTTTTGTTTTCTTCGTGGAACTTCACAGAGGCACAGCTGGTGGTCTGTTCCAGTCAGCCCCTGACCTTGTCCTGACGGGACACTGCGCTTCTCCATCGCTGCTTTCCACAGATGGGGTCGCTCTGAGTCCTGTGTTGTCCAGCTTGTGAGGTCCACGCTTGCCGTTCGTGGCCTTTATGTTGTTGAGAGAGTTATTTGCAACAACTAGGTGTTTGTCTTGCAAAAGCCTATCTATCAGGTCATCTCGGAGTCATTTCTATCAATCATTTCTATCAAAGTGCTATTTTCCCCACTACTGATCCATCTTGGTTTCCAACGTCCCCGTTCCAATCGCCAATAATGATCAGTGTACCTCGAGGGCATCTTAGCTCAATTTCAGACTTAAGAATTTGGTAAAAAATCTTCAATATCTTCATCTTTGGCGTTAGTGGTTGGCGCATAAATTCGACTAAGTCTTATGAACGGGTCTTTCTTGTAGGCATCTGGATAGGGTCCTCTCTCTCTGTTACACTTCAGGAGAGATCTTGAGATGTTCTTTTTTGACAGTGTGACCTAGTGCCTCTCAGTTTGTCATCCTTGGCAAAGACCAGACCCCATGACTATGCAAAATGGCCAGTTCTAGGCAAAATGGTCAGAATCAATCCGTTTCAGCCCACGGCTATCCAGGAAGTGTTCCATTTCATTTTTGATGGTTTCCGGGTTTTCCTGCATCCGTGTTGTGTACATTCCATGTTCTGGCCACTAACGGACAGCTGCAGCTGTTTCTTCTCATCTGAGTGCCTCCCAGGCAGAGGGGCCAATCTTCTGGCACTCGGACACGATCCCACTGCTTTGTAGGTTTTCCCTGGCCAGTTTCTTGAGACGTGGAGAGCCACATCCTTTCTCTTAGACTGTCTTGGTTTGGAATCGCCTCTGAAACCTGACACCACGGCGGCACACTGACAGCACAGCTTCCAGCATCACAGCAACACACTAGCCATCACTGGCAACAAAGTGACAGACTAGAGGTTGGGGCAGGTCCTGGGAGGAATTTACTATAAACCTGGTGGGAACTGTGGGTAACAGGCTTGCGTCTCCCCTTCTCTTGCAGAGGCTGCCGTTGTAACCACCCTCAACGGCTGGGCAAGTCGGAGACCCCTGCCCGCCCGCCGCTGAAGGAAGGAGCTGCCTACAGTGGGGTCCAGAACTGATCCTTGATCCAGGTCCGGATTCCGGATATTAGATCTGGCTGCCTGGCACTGAAATCCCTTCTGAAGCCGCCTGCCCCCAGAACCTGATGGCTGGAGCCTCCAGCCTCCTGGCCCAGGCCAGGCTTGGAGGGGGAGCCCACGGAGTGGCCAGACTCCTCGGAGTACCCCAGCTCTGGCGGGTGTGGGAGCTAACTCCAGCCCAGGTTGCATCTCCTCCTGGAAGTTCTGAGACAACGTGGCAGGTGTCCTACCTGGGTGAGGCCGGCTGCCCCCCAGTGGGTCACGGCACGAAGCTGGGCACACACATGTGCTGGGTCATAAGAACCCGGGGGGAGGCGGGGGTGGGGTGGGGGAGAGGAGGGCTTGTGGCTCCTTGAATGAAGCAAGGGGAGGCTACAGTCTCTAGAGCAAGCCGCTTGGGAACATTCTATCCACCAGTGGCTGCCCAGGCTTTCTTGCAGTTTGGGCAGGCCCATGGGCCCTGGCACTCAAGCTCGGGACACTGGCTCCCTCGTGGGCCCAGACTGGGCTGCCCCTTGGCTTCTTCTGTTCGTCCTCTCCCCGGTCCTCCACCCAACCCCGGCACCCAGTCTAGGAGTGAATGCAAGATGCCGGCAGAGCGCACTTTTGGCAATGTGCCCTAGCCCCACCCACAGGGACCCCAGCACCCACTCAGCAGGGGAGCAGGGACAGCGCTAGATTCGTGTAAAAACCTGTGTGCCCCTCTATATATGTCACTTAGAATGTATATATGTTGGGAACATGCTCGCTTCTCCCGTGTGTCCCTGCTGCGTGTCGTGTGCCCTGCGGCAGAGCCCAGCCCGGGCCCTTGCCAGGGGGCAGGGCTCCTGCAATGTCCCCCACGCAGCCACCAACGGCCTGGGCCAGCTCCCGCCAGTCCGTCCGCCTGTCCATCTGTGTCCTCAGTTCTGTCCATGCTTCGATAGGCCTGATGCAGCTCCCAGACAGGCCGCCCTAGCGACTTCTTGTATATATGACTGTAAAATGGTAAACGTGTGTATTATATCTGGCCTCGTTATATAGTGTATATATATGTATACATATACATATATATAATATATATGAAGACTGTAAATGTTAAGACGACTAGTGTTCTTATTAGTATATTGCTTCACACTGAAGATTGTGTGTATCGAGCTGTTTCTAAAAGATGTTTATTTTCCTTAAGAGTAAAAAAAAAAACAAAAAAACCAGTCATTGCATTCAGAAAAAAAAAAGAAGTCAATAAAGATACGACGATTGTTTTGGAAGTCTGCAGCCTGCAGCGGTGGCTTCTGATCACAGCCCCACTGGGAGAGGGGCCAGCTTGAAGTGGGGGGCAGCGGGAAGGGTTTGGGGGGCACCCTCACAGGCGGCCTCCTGTCCCATTGGGATGGTGGTACTACACACAGTGTGAGTGGAGGCATGGGGGCGGGGGGGCAGGCAAGATGGCACCGAGACATACAGGGAGGCCCAGGTTGGAGCTCTTGGCTCGGGCAACCCCCCCGGACACAAAGCCCACCTCACCCTGCTGCCCACAGCTGATCGGGCTGTCGCTAGGTGAGCAGAGACCGCCGAGACTACCAAGGCCTTTAGTGTGGAGCCGATCATGCCCAAAGATGGGGCCTTCGGCGCCAGGCCAACTGGAGGTCACATATATTCTGGGGAGATCCAGAACATGGGATGCCTCTGCCAGGGGAAGCGATGGCCCAAAGGCCGCCCCCTGACCAGCATGCCTGTCAGCTGAAGCACACCCCCAAACGCAAGTTATGAATAATTTCATGTTTTATTTGTACAAAACTTCTCAGCCTATGAAAATAAAGTCTGCAGAGGACAGAGCAGCAGTGAGCCGCTGTGGGCAGGCCCCTGAGGGGGCTGGGAGCACTGCTGGTGGGCAGCTGCTTCCCTCTAGACTGGAAAGAGCTCTCCAGTGATTGGCAACCCTTGGGGGGTGGAGGGGTGGAATGGTGGCTCCCTGCCCTCGGCCACTGCAATCCCAGGAGTGGCCGCCAGAGGTCAGCACTTTCCTACTGCCGCTTGCCAGTACCGGCGCGGTGGGGGCGAGAGCCCGGAGATGATGATCCCCACCCCCACCCCCACACGTCCCTCCGGACACAGTGCAGCCTGGGTTGGGTGCCAGCACGGTCTAGCTGGAGGTGACGGTGGTGCCGCCGCCCAGGCGCAGGAGCATCTGCTGGCAATCGTGTAGCAGCCGGCGGTCACCCAGCTTCTCCAGCGTGCGCGCGGCCTCGGCGAGCATGCCCACGCGCTGCCCGGGCGCCGACAGGAAGCCGGGCGGCAGGTAGCACGAAGCCAACAGCAAGGCCTCGGCGTGCTCCCGTCTCGTGGGCCTGGGCTCCAGCTCTGCCGCTGAGCCTGCGCACAAGGGCTGCTCCAGGGCGGGGCCAAGACGCTGGCCTCCGCGAGGGTCTAGGGCCCGCCCCCACCCAGTAAGATCTGACGCCACCAGGTACCACCCTGAGGGGGTCGACTTGGGCCCCCAAGGTCTGTGCGGTCCCCTTACACGTGGGCAGCTGTGCGTCCCATGGATAATCTTCGGGAGACCTCCCGGGGGAGCCCCCACCCCTTCCTCGCAGCACCGCTCACCTTTGCCGCCCAGGCCGGCCCTCCGCCTCAGACTGCGGTCCAGGAGCTGGTGGGTCCGGGTGGGGCTGGCCCCTGCCATCAGCCGGGCGGTGGCCTCGTGCAGGAACACCTGAGCAGGCAGGCGCGGGGGCAGTCAGGACTTGGCTGCAGTCCTGACCTCCGCCTCGTCCCACCTCCACGCGCAGGGAAGGGCCCAGCACTCACGCGCCGCATGGCCGGCCGGAAGCTCTGTGCCAGTCTGCGCAGGCTGCTCAGGTCCTGCTGGAAGCCACGCAGCTCCAGGGCCGAGGCCTGGGGCCCGCTGCCGAGCCCCTGGGAGGCCTGCCCAGGCCCCGAGGTCTGCTGCTGTCGCCACAGGCACGTGCGTGCCACCAGGAGCAGGTCGCACAGGAGCAGCAGCACGGCCTGCGAGGGGTGGGCAGGGTCAGGCAGCCGCCCAGCGCACAGTGGGCGGGGACTCGGCGCCAGGGGCTGGCCCCGGGCTGCACTGCCGAAGCACTGCACCTGGCGCACACACGTGCAATGCAACCGCAATGCACCTCGGGGCCACCCGCCTCTCCAGGCCCCAGGGTGCCACCTGTGTCCCCAGGGGCGGCGGAGGTGGGGTGGGGAGGGTGTTGACGAGGACACTGAAGCCAGCAGCAGCCACCCTGCCCATCTGAACCTATGGGCCAAGCTTTAGCCAAAATATAAGGTCCGCCAGAACCCGGGTCCTATTCAGCTTGGATTAATCCTGGAAAGGCCAGGACCCCAGCCCTACCCTCACCTTGTCGATGGAGCTGCCAGTGGGCATGGAGGCCAGGCTGTCCCGCAAGTGCCCGCTGGCCTTCTCACAGAAGGCCAAGCTGGCCGGCACAGACTCTACCTTGCTGCGACCCAGCAAGGCGCGGGCAGCCTTGAAGGCATGAAGGGCTGCCTTGGGGAGGGCTCTCCTGTGGGCCAGGAGAGGAGGGATGGTCAGGCTGGGCCCCAGCATGGCAGGGAACACCCCCACCCCCAGCCCAGGTCAGGTGCCCAAGGAGAGTGGGCAGTGCTCACTCGGCCTCCTGCAGAGCCTGGGGCAGGCGCTCCACCAGTGGGCACAGCTGCTCAGCCGCCTCCACATCCCGCCGCAGCCAATGGATCGCCACAGCCACTAGTGACGCCCACCACTTGGCCACCGGGTCAGTGCCTGTGGAGGAGGGAGGGGCTTTGAGAGGAGGCCTCACACTGGCCAAGCCCACTGGGCTCTCAGCAACACGGTGAGGGGTGGGGCTAGGGCTGAGCAGGCATGCTCACCAGGACTGGCCTCGCTGGGGCCTCCGCCTGGGCAGCTGGAGGCAAGAGGCCCTGCAGTGTCGGAGCAGCTGTTGAGCAGCTGCAGGTACCCGAGGGCATCGGAGAACTCCCTGTGGCAGGAGAGGGCTGGCCATGAGAATAGGTGTCAGGGACCTCCTCCTCCCCTCTCCCACCCCCACTCCCACCTTCTGCCTGCTGGTGGGGAAACTGAGGCACAGAGAGAAGCAGAGACCACAGATGAGGATACACAACAAGTGGGCAGTGGCCAGAGCTGGACCGCCTACACAGGTCCCTGCACACAGCTACTCTGAGCCCAGGTGGAAGGGTGAGGGCAGGGGACTCACTGGTCTCCTTCAGTTGAACTGGGGCCAGCACTGGGCTGGGCCACACTGCTCAGGGCTTGCTCCAGAAGATGTTCACGGAATAGCTGAGTCACCTGGGCCAGGGGGTCCACTGGAGGTGGAGAAGACAGGTGAGGGTGGGGCAGACCCCTGGTGTCCACTTTGGCTCCACACCTCCTAGGCACGCAGGCCGCTTGGCCTGGGTACAAAGTGCCACAGCATGGCAGGTCCTTCCTCCCCAGCAGCTGTCTAGTCTGTCGGCGCCCCATCCCTGTCTCACTTCCTCACGCCACTCAGTGCTTCCTAAGACCACTTTCCAAATCGACACATGCCAGCCAGGGCTTGCTTCTGCAGTACCCAGCTGGCCTTCCCTTCCTGCCAGCCTATAGTCACAGCCAGGCGGTAGAGATGGACGGCATCCCTCAGAGACCAGGGTTTGGTTGGGGTGGGGGGACAGAGGTGGGGCTAGGGACCAGGGATGGGTGTAAGGAACAAGGGGCAGGGACAAGGCTTGTCGACGAAGGACAGGGCAAGAAACAGGGATCAAGGGACAGGGAAGGGCACAGGGTTGGGAAAGGTGATAAGGACAAGGGGCAGGACTGAGGGGCAGGAACAGGAATGAGAGTGAGGAATGGGGGAAGGCAGAAGGGAGGGGGACAAAAGGGAGGTAAGTTGTGGGAATGAGGGACAGATATGGGGGTGAGGGAGAAGGAGGCTTAGGACTCAGGCAAGGACAGGGGGTGAGGGACGGGAATGAAGATGCACCTGGGCTCCCAGCCGAGCTGTACAGACTCTCCCTTGGGGCACTCTGCACAGCCCACTCTCCGTCCACAAAGAAGCGGTGGCCCGCAGGATGGCAGAGCCACGGCATGGCAAGAGGCACTGAGCCACTCTGGGCCAGGCAGGCCTGCCGCGCGCTGCTCAGGAAGAAGCGCTGTGGAGGAGGAGCCAGCTGTGATGTGGGCCCCAGGCCCTGCGGCCCACCACCCACTGGAACAGCTCACCAGGGAGACCCCCACCCCCACACTCACAGTCAGGAAGTGGAAGGTTCGAGGAAGGCTGGTCTTGACCCTCAGAGCAGCTGCCACATAGATCTCTGCCAGCGTTTCCACGGCCACCGTGTCACCCGCGCACTCGGCCAGGTTCAGGGCACCCAGCGCTAAGTTGATGGCAGCAAGGTGCCCACCATTGAACTTCCCTGGGAAGAGACAGGGCCCTGAGCCCAGGCGGGAGGCAGGGCAGGGCAGCCCCTCTCCCCCTCCACAGCCAGCCGTACCCACGGTGTGCAGCTGGTGGAGTTGGTGGTAGGCCAGGGCAGCATCCCGGGCACTAGCCCGGGCATCCGCCTGTAAGGAGCTATCCTTCTGCAGACCCCCTGCCCGGCTGGCCAGCCAGCGGCCCACCCAGAGGTGCTGCAGGAGGTGGCGGGTGACGTTCCAGAGCAGGCTACAAGCCAGGTCCAGGTGGGAGGTGGGGAGGGGTCGGCCCAGCACCCAAAGGGCTCGCCACAGCTGCTGGGCAGCCTGGGCAAAGTCCCCCTAAAGGGAGAGGAATGCAAGGTGAGGGTGACGGGCTGGAGCACCGAAGCCATGCCCCCCGCCTCACCCTCCTCAAGGCCCTGGCATGCTGGGCTTGCCCCAGCTCACTCAGCAGCACTGGGTGGGACCCATGAGGCCCCAGGGGGTCTGAGGGGCTGGCCAGAATGAGGAGAATGGGGCAGGCTGCTGGTGTGCACAAAGGGGAGAGGACAAGAGATGACTGTCCCCCCACCCCATGCTGAGAACCCGGTGGCACCTGGGCCCCCCACCCCCCCACCTGCTTCCTCCGCCCGCCCGCCCTCACCCGAGCCAGGTCCAGGTCGGCCTGCCTGCGATGCCTCCAGAAGTGCACGGCGGCTCGGGAATGTGGCCGTGTGACTGGCTCCCCGTAGATGAAGAGCAAGGCCAAGGAGCCCACCACCAGCAGCCCATCCATCAGCCACACGAGCAGCGGCAGCAGCCACTGGGCCCAGCTGTGGCTGTCTGGGGGCAGAGGGCAGAGCTGTGGGGCTGGCTCCTGGGGAATGCAAAGCCCCAAGCCCGCTGGCCTGGAACTGTCCCCCGAGAGTGCCCACCTCTCCCTGCAAGATGTCTAGGCAAGCTGTTCCCTACCTCTGCCCTCAGCGCCCAGCATGTTGCGCCCAGGGCCATGGTAGACACTGGTGGCATCCGGGGGGCCAGGGAGGCCCCACCCACCTAGCAGGGAGGCCAAGGGGTTGTAGGACAAACAGAAAAAGACGAAGGCACACAGGGCCAGTCGGGTACGGTCCAGCAGGCCTCGGCTGCAGGGGGGTGACAGCAGAGGCTTCCCCTGGGAGATGAGGGAACAAAGCAGGAAAGGATAGTGTGAGTGGTCTCTGAGAAAGGGCTGGAGAGGGGCATTAGGACATCTGTGAAGTGGGCGGGCGGGGGGGGGGGAAGGGTCAGGTCAGGGCATCTGGGTGACCCAGCACTTCTTCCCAGAGGGATTGCTTGGGGAGGGGAGGGGACCACACCACAGGATCCAACCTGGCTGTCCTCCAAGATGAAGCTGTCAGGCTCCGAGTCGCTGCCACCACCACTACCCCTGCCACCCAGGGGCAGGGGGCTGCTCTGGGAGGGCGAGCCAGCATCCGAGGGGGGTGGAGTCAGTACATCCACCACATCCGGCTTCGTGCCCTCCATGGGCACTTCTGTGCTAGCCCCGCCACCACAGGGGGCCACCAGGTCCTTCAGAGAATCTGTAGTCCAGTGAAGAGCAGGTCTGGGGTCGGGGCCGATCCCATCCCAGGCCCACCCCACCCCCACCTGTATCAGCTCAAGGCCCTAGTTGACTGGGGGGGGGTAGCGCTAGCTGGAAGCTGGGGCAGAGGTCATAATAGTGGCAGCGAGGGGCTGAGCTGGGAGCAGGGCCAGGACTCACTGCTCTTGTGGACAGTGGTCCGCAGACTCAGATTCTCCTGCTTGAGTTTCCGGTTGCTAAGTTGTAGGAAGCGGATGTAGTCGATGGCCTTGCGCAAGACAGCCGATTTATTCAGCTGCAGGAGGGAAGGGCAGGAGGAGGGGCTGCCTCAGGGCCTTTGCTCTCCTTCCACAGCCTCTCCCCTAGTCATACCAACCTCCCTGGTGGCAGAAGAGCATGAACAATGCTTAGAACAGTGCTCACTTGGCTAGCGGCTATTAGGAAAACACTTGCTTCTCCCACCCCATGCTATTGCGCAACACAAGGGCAAGCCTAAGGGATTGCTACCACATCGTGCTGCTGCTGCCTCTGCCGGGCGCTACTGAGTCGCTCCCGACTCACAGCGACCTTGTGTACAGAGCACGACAAAACCTTTATTCAACGAGGTGTCAAAACGTGTAGCTGTTTCCTCTGGAGGAATCCTCCAGGGAGCTCTCCGAAGGCAGCCTCCTCCCCTCCCGCAGTGGTCTGGGATCCTCAGTGGGTCTTTGTGAAGGACTGCTTGGGAACTCCTCCAGGGACTCAAGTCTGCTGTTGTGGGGCGTTCTGTGAGTTTGGGCCCCAAAAAGAGATCTGACAAGGCAGTGGCAGGGTGGCCGGTGGAGGGGAAGGTTTCTGGTCAAAGCCTGGACGGACAGCCGTGCTGCCTTCAGAAAGGAGCAGGGCCATTGGGGTGGCCTTTTCCTTAGCCGGCTGCTTCCAAGTGTCCTAAAGCTTCTCTATAATAAGCCCTGTTCTTGTCCTTTAAGAAAACCTACCGTGACGACTCTTGGCAATCCCAGACCGTCACCACAGGAATCCTCTGAGCTGACCTCTGCCTGGAAGCCAACTGACCCAACAGATCCCCTTCAAAGCCACCGTTTTGATTGGACCCATTTTCTTAAGGTGCCCTGACAAGACCAAGACAGGTGTATGGCTGAGAGCTGTCTGCAGCCATATTGATGGTGGAGATCTAAGTGCCTTTCATTTGGGACAGACTGGTGCATGCACGAGCGGCAACCCTGCGAGCAATCCTCACCTTCAAGGTCACTGAGGCCTTTCTTGACCACTGTCCTCACCCCTCCGATTCAGACCTGCCACTTTCTCAGGCCCTTTTCCCTGCCCATGCCCGTCTGGTGTTCTAACACTGGGCAGGGTGTGTCTGCCTCGAATAACCCCCAGCACACAGGCAGGAGTCCTCCCAGAGGCACTGAGCCCCCAAACCTCATCTGTCTTGGGTTCTCCCCTGCTTCTCTACCCCTCACCCCACCCTGGTCACCTGGCTGACCCCCTGCCAGGCCCTCACCCGCACCTTTGCCTCGGTGCCCACCACCAGGTCCTTGAGCTCCACGATCTTGTCATTGATGGAAGAACGGTAGCGCTTTTCAATGGCGTTGTGGGCCGTGCGCTTCTCACCACGGCTCTGGGTCGCACCAGGGACCCTGCTACTGGCTGCTAGCCGGTTGATGGGCAGCTTGTCCGCGTCCACCACCAGCGGCACTGTGGCCAGGATGGTCCCTCCGCTCACCAGGGTCTGCAAGCACCGATACCAATGAGCAGGGTGTGTGAGTGTGTGTATGTTTCTGTGTGGTGAGCACATGGGTGTGTGTAGGTGTGTGCACGAGCACTTGCACACCCCATGCTCCTCCACCCTGCCATGCTGCCCACCTGCAGGGGCCCTGTCTGCATGGCAGTAGCAGGGGTCAGAGAGGGGATCCCCGCTGACTTCACAGTGGCTCCCACGTCCGTTTTCATGGTTGTCAGGAGCAGTGAGTCTGCCTTGATGAAGTGCGGCTGGAGCAGGACCTGGGGGTGGGAGGCGGGCTGTGAGGCATGCCAGGGACAGGCACAGGCCCCCACTCCAACTCCAGGCCAGACCTGCTCACCGGGACCTGCTGGATCTGAGAGGCCACAGTAGCCGTTCTAGGAGATGCTTGGGGGGCAGCTGTGGCTGCCAGCAGCTGCTGGGGAGCTGCGCCCTGGACCTGGGTATGCAAGGAGCCAGATGGGCCCCCTGGCAGGGAAGCCTGTGGCTGGCCAGTCAGTAGCTGCTGGGCACTGGCTGAAGGGGTGCCTGCAGAGAGAACGGTGGATCTGGAGGCACGGGCTGCCTGAGCCCACCTTCTGCCTGCCCTCAGGCCCCCATCACCAGGTGGCCCTGGACCTCGGTCTCTCTGTCTGCATCTCCTGCCTGGGGCTGTGGCAGCTTTGGAAGGGCAGCCCTGACCAGGAGTCCACGCTTACCCAAAGGCCAACTGTCCTGCAGTTCCGCTCCTAACAGGAGACAGCAGCAGAGGCAAGACCCTTCCCCACAGCCCTGCAGACCCTGCCCTCCTGTCCCATCCCGCATACCTGGAGAGAAGCCTGAAGCAGGGCTGGAGTAGCCCAGCCCAGAGGCAGAGCTGCCCAGTGGTGGGGCCAGGGTCGGACCCTGGAAGCTCTGGACCAGCAGGGCACCTGGCAGGGCCTGCGGGGCAGGAGGCTGCAGGATGCTCAGTGGCACAGGCTCCTCCTTAATCCCAGGTCCAGGGGAGAAGGGGGGCAGAGATGGATACACCTTCAATGGGGTAGGTGTGGTCTGGGGAGGGGACAGGGGCAGGGGAGCTGTGGCCTTGGAATCTCCCAGGAGGCCTTCTAGGGGGGAGCCCAGCATGGCAGGGGGCGGGGACAGGCTGCCTGGGGAAGTGGCATCAGCGCTGTGCAGCTCGGTGCTCGGGGCCCCGTCCCCTGCATAAGGGGCATCGAAGAGGCCTGGGAAGTCGCTCTCCTGGTTGTTGATGAGCTGCAGCATGTCTGTGGAAGAAGAAGGGGTGTGTGAGCCAGTGGGCCGGCCTCCGACAAGAAGCACGTACTTGCACTCTCCAGGTGCATGCGCTTGTACACACAGCCACCGCCTTGGGCCTGGCAACCCACACTAGCAAGCCTACGCTCCTGTGCCAGTTTCTTGGGCACTGGCAGGAGGCCAGGTCCCTCAGGTGCGTCAACTTGAGGAGGCTGGCGCCTCCTGGGGGACTCTGGCTCCCTGAGGCTCCCTCTCCTCCCTGTCATGCAGCCAGGATGGGGGCACTGGAGGGCCGAAGCTTTTACCACCTTGAGTTTGTCTGAACGCCTGCAGACACCCTTTCCACAGCTCCCACCCACCCACCCGGCATCATCCACCAAGTGCCCATTAGCTGTGAACAGAACAGGCAATGTCTGCTCCACAGAGCCAGGGAGGTTTCTGGGGAGCTGGAGAGGTCGTGTAGCCTGACGTGGACAGTGCCCTCAGGAAGCAGACATTAGACAACGTTCACCTTGGAGCGTGTACTCATAGGGGTCTTACACAGTGGACCCCTAACTGGCCCTCAAGTCTTTGCCCAGGAGCCTGCAAGCCCCTCCAGTCAGCCTCTCTCCCACTCTGTTCTTCATTGTTACCTCTCAACCACCTCTGGGAAGATAGAGAATGCCCACCCAGCTCAGGTCATAGGAGGTTCAAAGGCTCAGGTACAGCCTTGCCCTGGCCCCACCCTTAGACTTAGTATCTTAATCTGTAAAATGGGTGCAGGGCAGGGCTGCCAGCAGGGAGAGCCCTAGGCTAAGTGACATCTGTCCTCAGCCCAAGGGAGGCTAATGGGAGCCTTCAGCAGCTGGGGACAAGATGAAGACTCTTTGGACAGATGGGACAGGCCCACTCCCGGTCCTTTCTTTCAACGCCACCCAGCAAGGTCCTCTGGGCACAGTATTTGAGACAGCTGTGAAGGGGGTGAGCAACCCCCCTCCAGTTTACAATGGGGCTGCACCCCACTCTACCCAGGGCAGTGCAGGGTCCCCACGAAGGAATGGCAGCTGCTCAGTCCCCCAAAAGGGACCTGACCTCCAAGCTAGGACATCTCTTGCCTTTCTGCACGGGAAGTTTGGCCAAGACAAGAATATGTAAAAGGGTGTATGACTCAGCCCATTTTACAGACAGGCTCCACAAATGGAGGCCAGGGCTGGCCCTCATCCTTCTGACTGGAGGCTCTGAGCAGGCAGTGGGACCATCACTTACAGAGACCAGCTCAACAACCATGAGCAGTAAGAACCCACAGGGGGATTGGCCCAGTCTATAAAGTGCTAAGCCTTCTGCCCCTGCACCACCCCTCCAGAAGCCAGGGACCAAGCTGCAGTCAACAGCCCCTTCCTCAGGGGAGCAGAGGGAGGCTCTGGGCCAAGCTAGCTTCCAGTCACGAAGCTGGCTGGGACTCTGTGTGCTCCAGGCACAAGCCCAGGCCCTGAGGGACAGGTCTCCCGTGTTCCTCCCATCCAAAGGAGTACAGTCTCTCCTTCCCTTCCCCTTCTTCTGGCTTGCCCTCCCACCCCCCATGCCCTGCACCCCAGCCTGGCCACAGCCCTCTGCCCCAGCTGGCAGCCAGCGTCTGGTAGGCTCAGTCCAGCTCCCTCTAACCCACTCGGGACATCCACCCACTGGGTCGAAGGGATTTCTGCAGGGCCCTCAACCCAGGAGCCCCTCCCCAGCCTCCCTGATCGCTGGCTTGGGCTTTCAGCCCTGGCCACCCTCTGGCTCAAAGCAGAGCTGGCGCCAACTGCCCCTTTTCCACCCAGGGCCTCAGTTTCTCCATCTGTAAGCAGAAGTAATCTGACCCTGCTGGGCAGCTAGCTACCTTGCCTGAGGACACTTCTTGGAGTAGGTGCTGGTTGCCTGATCCCAGCCCTCTAACAGGTGTTCCAGCAGGTGTCCCTAAAAGCCTTTGCCAATGCTTCAGGGGTGCCAGGCTCAGCCCCCCGGGATCCGCACATTCAAACCCTCCTCAGCCTCCAAGATCACACAGGTCAGAAGTGCTTCCAACTGCAGGACTCTCCCACCCAATTCCCCAGCCAGCCCCACCAGTCCACAAGAGCCAGAAAGAACTGGGGAACTGAGGCCCGAGAGAAATTTAGACTGACTCCAGAGCCCAACTAGTGGGTGAGAAACTCCTAAAGTAGGGCTGGCAAACAGGTCCCCACACACATGGCTCCCTGGTCCCCTATCCTGAACTCTTCACTCCAGGGGAGCAAAGTTTTGGGGAAAACCCTATGTCGCAGCAGGTCTCTATACCAACCTTCTCCCTGGGCCAGATAGAGGGAACTGACGAATGGTCCATAAGCCCTACCCCCACCCCCCCTTCCAGCCAGGTCCTGCGTCCTCCTCCAGGGGCTCCTGCCTGCTCAGGTCCTTAGCCCCACCGTGGGAACCAGGATAGCACCCCGCAGCGCAAGTGGGGCTGTAACAAAGGCAGGGGTCCTCCATGAAATACCTTCAAAGGTGCAGTCCATGGCTCCGCGGCTCAGCCCGCGCCCCCCGCGGGGCATCCAGGCGGCCAGCCCTGCCCCACCTCCCTGCGGGGCCAACTCCACCTGTCAGTGCGTCTAAGGCTTTAAAGCCCGCGGAACCCTGCCGAGCCACGCCCCCGAGCCGCGGGCCGCCCGTGGGGTGAGCAAGCGTGGCCAATCAGCGCCCCGCCCCCGCCTCCCTGCGGGCCCCGCCCCCCGACGGCAGCCCGGCTCGGGTTTCTTCACCGCTCTGAATGGGGCCGGGGTTACTCTTGGGCACCGGCGACCGACCCGCTCGGCGCCCCGCCTTCCCGGGGGTTACTGACGGTCAAGGCTCTCCAGGGTCCGGCCCCCCCCCCCCACCCGGCCTTCCCGCTCAGAACAGTAGCTTGCGTACGCGCGGGCTTGGGGGTCAGAGCAGGGGAGACCCATGCAGGAGATCACGGATTCCCTAGCGTGGGGTACAGTCTCAATTGCGCCAAGCCTCGGTTTACTCCTGCAGAAAATGGGGCATCCCAACCCCTACACACCCCCATCCCCACCCACCCCAGGCAGCGAACGGGAGAAGTAAGGAAGATAGGGTGGCAGCGCGTTCATTCGACAAGGCCTGGGGCTGCCTGCTAGTGGCTGCCATGGTATCCCCTCACTCCGGGGTCACCCAACTTCACAAGGGACACAGATGAAACCCCCGACTACAGGGTGGAAAGACACACCCCCAGCCCACCAGGAAACCCTCAAACCCTAGTATCCCGACTCAGCAAGGCCCTCAGACAGGATGGGAGGCCCCTAGAGCTTTGGGGGGCTGGGATCAACCCTAAGGTGGCAGTCTCTTGTGCCCCTTTGTGGGGTGCCTAGACCTGCCTCCTTGTGTATGAAGTAAAGGTTAGACACAGCAGAGGCCAGTGCCAGATAGGCAGCCCAGCCCCAGCCCCAGCCCCTGCTGTGCCCTAGGGGTTTTGTAGCACTGGGCAGGCAGGCAGGTGAGGCAGGAGGCTGGAGTCCCTTCTAGCTCCAATTAATCTCCTCTTGTAGAAGCCCTTTCCCCCTCCTAGCTCCTAGCCCTCCCTTTCCCAGGAGCTGGGATCCTCCCCAACCCCTCCAAACTCTTATTAATGGCCTACTCCCAGGGGTCACCCTGCAGGCCTTTCATCAGGCAGCAGTCTCTCTCCTCTCCCTCTCTTCTTTCTTCCCTCTCTCTCACACTCCCAGAGGTGCGACGGGGAGAAGCTGCTGCTAGGAAGAGGCTAGGGGCCCCGAAGCACCCAGGTGGCTGGTGGAGGGGCAGCTGCCTCCCTGCTCCTATCTCCCTTCACCAAAATTGGGCTCCCATCCCACTCCCTCTAGGGGCCAGATCTTCGGCCAACTTCTACAGGGCAAGCTGGGTGCCAGGGCTGAACAGAGTGGAAACCGGAGAGTCACACCCCCAGCTTCCCCCCAGAGGTGGAGTCTGGGGCCACACACAGGGCTGGGCCAGCCTCTCTCCTGACTTGTGGGGGGGGCCCTGGGCAGGTCGTTCTACTCCCTAAGCCTCCACCCACTGGTGTGGGAGGTGGGGGCTCTAGAGTAGCAAGTTTATAAAACACACTGTTCCTCCCAGCAGGGCAAGGCAGATGGTTTGGGAGTGCCAAGGCAGTCCGGGACTGCCTGGACCCTTGGTGACATACCTCAAGCCCTTGACAGGGAATTGGTTTCTGAAGGGGGTTAGCAGGTCCAGAAGAGGAGTGAGGCCAAGAGGTGCCTGAGTGACAAGTGTCAGGGAGTGCCTCCCTTATGTCACCCACAGCTCCAGTCCCCGGCATGAAGGCAAGTCCCCAAAATGGTCCCTCTCAGGCCAGAGGAGGCAAGGATTCAAAAGCACCTATCTCTCCACTTCAGGAACACAGGGAGGCACAGACCTGGCCTTCCTCCACCCGCTCCCAGGTGGGTGAAGTCCAGATCACCCCCCTACTCCTCTCTGTCCTGCCCTGATTCTATCAGGGTCCAACTGAAACCTGAACCTAGGCTCCTTCTCCCTCCATGCCCCCCCCACCCCTTCCATCCGCCCTCTGGAGGCAGACACAGGCAGCCTTTAATTCCTGTTGATTCCGTGCCCACCGATTCAGGGCAGATTTGTTCTGTAAGGCCAAAGGACACGAGAGGGCCGGCTGCCAAGATCTCCAAGGGGCCCAGCTCTGACTGTCCAAGAGCCCTGGAGGCTGATTGGGATCTGGGGCCCCGAGGTCATTAGCCCAACTGGTTACAGGCTTTGAATTGCAAACGTTTGGTTGACTACCTCCTAGGATAAGGAGCTCACCGCCTTGCCTGGCCCTACTGGGCCTGGTTCACAGTCGACTGACTCTCTGGGTGCTGGGGAAACAGTTGAACTGCTCTAGAACTTCCTGCAATGCGCTCATGCTCCAGCAAGGAAGACCAACCGTGTGTGAACATACAGGCTAACACAGCTACAGGTAACCAATCGTGAGTACAGTGGAGAAACTGAGAGTGTGTGTGGTGAGACCATGTGG